AGTCGATCGATAGGTCGAATTTATCTATTGAGAGATCGGTTGTGATCGCGCAGATGTTGTTTCATGTAAGTGTTTGTGCTCGTGTCGTCGGTACAATCAACAGTCCGCTCGTCGAATCGACGAATCGAGCAATCGGCAAACCGCTCAGATCAAACAAAACAGTGTGTGTGTGTGTGTATGTGTGTGTGTGCGCTCGCAAGTGAGGGTGCCCATATCAGTATCATGTTAGCGAACGTCCGATCAGTCGATATGCTCCATATTGACAAATAGTTAATTATGACAAGCAAGCGATCGATCAAACATTGCCCCCTCAGAGTAATCAATCAGTCGATTGATGAACAAATCGTTCCCGATATTTCGATTGGTCGACGATCTGATTTCCAATTAATTTCAAAGATCAAACACGCGTATGTTTGTTCAAGTACATGTGCTCATACCGATTTCATAAAACAAGCCGCTAGATCAACAGATCATCATCCGTAGTCAGTTTGATCAACAAAGCGTTCGACCAATAAACTAGTCGACCAATCGATGGACTGAACCGGGCGCTGAAACAAATGAGCAGCCAATATCCAACGCAGACCATATCATCATGTATCGGTGTGTGTGTGTGATTGTGCGCGCGTTTGTGCACAAACACGCACCGTCATTGTCGTACCCCACGTTCCTCCACTAAAAAACTAAGCGATCGATCAAGGCATGATCGCCCGTCCAATCAATCACTCGACTGAGTAACAGATCGTGGACGATCTCGTGACTGATGGAATGCTTGATTGCCGGACAATGACCGATTTGTTGATTGAATGACTGATTGAGAGATCATGTGTGTTCTTGTGATCGGACGCTAATTTGAAACGAAAATTGATCGGACTCCATCAAATCTTGTCTAGCAATGGCCATCGGACTTTATCGAACCTCGTTCTTCATCGAACCTTAACGACTATCGGAATTCATGGAACCGCTCCTGCAGCTCGCCGACCGCTTAAGCGGACTCGCAATGGACGCATTTCAAACACCCTATCCAAACGTTGTTGTAGTTGGTCGGAATCCCACTTGAAATATCGCAACAGTAATGTGGGGTCCAAATGCAAGCACATAAGTCCTTAGTCACTACAGACTACGAGTGAATGCATGAAGTCCGCCGACATCCGAACTTCCCATATTGGCTACCATGGGCAACGGAAGAAGTTTGGATGTCGGCGGACTCGCCGACATTCCTGGTTGAACAGAAGCAACCACTCTTTCTAACCATTATTTTAAGTTCGGATGCCAGCAAACTTCGTGTTTTCACACATCCTTTGTTGCTGTTGTGGTTCGCCGATATCCGAACTTCACATATTGGTCACCATGGGCAACGAAAGAAGTTTGGATGACGACGGACTTGGCGTTATTCCTGGTTGAATAGCAGCAACAACACTTTCTCGCAAGTATTTTAAGTTCGGATGCAAGTGAACTTCGTGTTTCACACATCCTCTGTTGTTGCTGTGGTTCGCCGACATCCGAACTTCCCATATTGGCTACCATGGGCAACGAAAGAAGTTCAGATGTCGGCGGACTTGGCGGTATTCCTGGTTGAACAACATCAACTACCCTTTCTCGCGAATATCTTAAGTTCGGATGCCAGCGAACTTCGTGCTTCCATACATCCTTTGCTGCTGTTGTAATTCGCCGACATCGGAGCTTCACGTATTGGCTACCATGGGCAAAGAAAGAAGTTCGGATGCCGGCGGACTTGGTGGTATTCCTAGTTGAACAGCAACAGTTACCCTTTCTCGCCAGTATTTTAAGTTAGGATGCCGACAAACTTCGTGTTTTCACACATCCTCTGCTGCTGTTGTAGTTCTTCGGGATCCTGTCTTGAAATATCGCAACAGTAGTGTGTGGCCCAATTGCAAGCACAGAAGTCCCTAGTCACTGCACACCACATGTGTATGCACGAAGTCCGCCGACATCCGAACTTCACATATTTGCTACCATGGTCAATAAGAGAAGTTCGGATGCCGACAAACTTGGCGGCTTTCCTGGTTGAACAGCAACAACCATGCTTTCTCACCAGTATCCTTCCAACGGACGAAGTTCACCCAAATCGTCACATCGAATAGCGTTGTGTACAACGCACACCTGCGTGTGAATCATTAAACAACGAGCACCGACGTCAGGTGACGTGCAGTCCTCCTATGTTCGCACTTTGCACAAATCCCATAAACTTTGAAAAGAATTGTTGTCCGCCTGCATGCGAACTTCGCATGTTGAGCGGAGGCCACTAGCCCGCCCAGCCAACAACCCCCTCGAACAGGGCCACTCTGCGATTCCCGTACGACATGCCCACAATCTAAGTCCGCCGAAATCCGGATTTGACAAATTTTTGTTGCATCACTAGCTCAGTCCCGACGTATTTGTCGCCCAACCACCTACAACAAGTGTCGAACAGTCCGTGGTTGTCTTTGCGAATTGCCAAAACCACTCTCAGGGAACCTTGGTGCGGCGTCTGGATCTGTTCGGCGGAGAGTTTCATGCTGCCTTAACAGATCTGGGTTCAATTGCCACAAAGTGTCCGTCGCAAGAGTTTAGCGCTTCATGAAGTTCATGGAGATCCCAGTTGGTGGACCTTCTTGTTGGATCTGAATCTGTTTTCAGCAGAGTTTCATACTCCACAAACAAAATTTCCCTCCAGTTCCCGCAGGTTATTAGTCGGTCGGGTAGTCTTTCGTGATGCTCAAACGCAACTGGGGTGAGTTTGGTGGGCCTTCTTGTTGGATCTGGATCTGTTTTGAGCAGAGTTTCACACTCCACAAACAGAATTCCCCTCCAGTTCCTGCAAGCTATCAGTTGTTCGGGCAATCTATCGTGATGCTTAAACGCAACTGGGACGAGTTTGTTGGGCCTTCTTGTTGCATTTGGATCTATTTTGAGCAAGGTTTCGCACTGCACAAACATAATTTCCCTACAGTTCCCGCAGGTTATCAGTTGTTCGGGCAGTATTTTGTGATGCTCAAACGCAACTAGGGCGAGTTTGGTGGGCCTTCTTGTTGGATCTGGATTTTTTTGGGAGAGTTTCGCACTCCAAAAACACAATTCCCTCCACACCGGGCCTCCAGTTCCCGCAGGTTATCATTTGTTCGGGCAGTCTTTCGTGATGCTCAAATGCAACTCGGGCGAGTTTGGTGGGCCTCCTCGGATTGTGGAACACTGGAAGTTCGCAGGCATCCGAACTACAAATCTCGCGACCTCCAAGGCCGCGCAGATTCGATGGAAGTTCGTCGGGATCCGATCTTTAAACAAAGCAGCAAGTGCCTTGTGGTTCACTATCGGTATCTGTGAGGCATGGACCTTGGCAGAAAATGGGGGAGAACTCTAAGTCCCTGTCGACGAATGTGGGAACTGGAGGTCCCAGACTGTGTTCTCCAAAGACACTTTTCGTGTTCATAGCTCTTGTTGACCGCACAACCCTTCCGACAGTTTCCGAAGTTCAGATCCCGACGAACTTCGGGTATGCCCTTGCGCTGCTAACAATGCCCGTGTGAAGGTTGGCCGTGTTGAGGCCCCTGCAACCGTGATTGTGAAGATGGTCGAAACTGCCATCGAGCCTCAACTCCAAATGACCCGGAGCTTTAAATCTCCAAAGATTTAAAACTTTGGCAATTCAACCAGAAATGAATTTAGCCAACGCCGCATGGTTTTTATCGAAGTTCGCCGAGATCCGATCTTCATACAATGCGACAAGGGTTGTGTGGTTCGTTGTCACTGTCGGCATGAATTTGTTATTCACAGAAAACGAAAGAGAAATCCAAATCCATTTCCGCGAGCTTAAGAACTAAGGGTTCCGTGCTGTGTTCTACAAAGATAATTTTCGTGTTAATAACTCTGATGTACCACACTGCCCTTCCCGCAGTATTCGAAGTTCGGATCCCTGCGAACTTAGGTTATGTCCTCAAACTGTTCTCAATGCCTATGTCAAGGATAACCGCGTCGCGGCCCACTCAAGGAATAGTCGCATGACATGTGTTCCCTTCGCAAAGATTGTTCTCGCTGTTCAACTGAAGATGTTGGAGGGCCTTCGTGTGCGAAGTTCGCCGTAATCCGAACTTCTTGCTTTGAAACAACGCAATGAGGCCGACGTGTGCAGTTCAGGGTTCGCCGCCTGCGTTTGTAATGCTTCATTTTAGCCTATGCTATGGTTTGACTGTGACTAGACTGTTGCTGCAATGGTTTGCCCAATCCTGACCACGTCGTGGGTTGTTTCATTTGCGTTGTCGTCCGCAGACACGATGTCTTTGTCGAGGGGCGAGGGGGAGTCTGTCGGGACCTTCGGGAAGGAATGAGGAAAAGATTCCACAAAACGGTCGTCCACGTCCTCAAAATCGTCAAAATGGTTCATCGACTGATGTTGTGGAGATGCTTCCAACCCCGTTAGGCAGCCGTGTGGTCCTATCATCTTCGTCAACGATAGCAAGGGGTACGGAGACGGTTCTATATGAAAATTGTTTACAGTGCGAAGGGCAATGTAGTTGCCAATTCCAAGAGGGCGTTGTTGGACATGGATTCGTTAGAGGGCTTCAGAGCGGGTGATGTGAACACCCTGTTCTACAATGAACTCGTTCGACAAGGCAGGTTTGTTTTGGCTCGAGAGTTTTTTAAGTTGTTGGAGGACAAGGACGTCGGCCTCGACATCCCCTGCGACGTCTGCACCTCCCTAGGGTTGTCAATGCCCTTGCAACTGTGCAGCGGTTGCGAATCTAGCGAGGCTGCAGCGGAGGGGGGGGATTTGGGTTTTGGTGCGACTACTCAACTGCAGGGGGAGGAGAGTCGTGGTCAGTTTGACAATAGAGAAGATGAGGCACCACTGCTGACGACGACTTCACCGTTGAGGCAAAGAGCCCAGTCCGTGTTGTCTATACCTGGGGTCCAGTAAGCCGCTCCGATTCGGGAGGAGCTCGCTGCGGCTGCCGGAAAGGCGGCAGTCCACTTGGAGGTCGGTTTGGAGACTGGTGACGGCCATGGCACGGATGACAAAACCATGGGCGGGGAGGGGATGTAGGGCACTCCACAAAAGAGAAAGGGAGATTGTCAGGACGACATGGTCGACTCTTCGAAGAAACTGAAGACCAAGGCCCCGACGAGTGTGGGGGAGAAACGAAAGGGAACCAGGGGGGAGCAACATCGCCCGGGTACCAAACATCCAACTGCGAAACAGAAGCGGCCTGCACCGGGACCTTCCTCGCCACGACCTCCCATCAACATCGATGCCAGGTACTTCCTAGAGTACAAAGATGGCGTCAGAACAAAGCGGGAGTTCGAGATTAGCCCAGCGCAGGTCATCGACCTCGGGGAGTGGGAGGATTTGGACAACCAGTGGTCCCTGAATCCCGTCCCCATAGAAGGGATCAAAGAAGCGATGTGGTTAGCGTTCGATAACAAAGAACAGTCATACGAGTTGCCAACCTTGAAACTGGCACGGTTGGGGCTGCGAAAACCAACTCTCGGGGCCAAGGTTGTACGTCTGAAGCCGGAGGACTGCAAGGACGAGCTTTCGGGCCAATACTACTACAATGCGGTGTGTGGGCATCACAACGCAGCTGCTGCCAGGTCACTGCTTTGCAGCAAGGTGGCCAAGAAGTACAATTTCGAGCGGTGGCCGACACGTATGGTGAACTTTTCGGACGACGACTTCGAAGAGTATTTCCTTGTTAGTTCCCAGGACAACAAGGACCTCAAGGCACCTCCAAGACAGTTGAAACTGTCAATGAAAGACATTGGGTGGCAGTGGAAGCATGACGGTTCCCTAAAGCTGTTATGTAGGACTATTGTGGGAAACAAGAACACGTTCGAAAAGGGTGTGAGTTTTGTATCATGGCACTCCATAACACGTCGTACAACAACTTGTGGACTCTCGCAGATGAAAAGGGGAAGGACGCTGTCAAGAAGCAAAATGTTGCCCTGCGTTTTTATTTCCTGTTGGGGATGGCCGGAGAGAATGTCGAAAAACTGGCCATGGAATTTTTTGAGACCCGAAGGTCGCCTACATCGACAATGATAAGTTGGGCAGAAAGAACATCGTTTACAACGTCCCCGTGGAGCCGCCGAACAAGAAAGGAAAAAAGGAGAAAGAGGAGGGCGATTGGTTCGTGCAGGTGCTTGAGCTAGACACATATTGTTGGAAAGTGACGGAAGCACTCACCGACAATGAGAAGTGTCGCGTTCAAAAAAAGGTGCTTGCTTGCGAGGTGGTTTGGTCCAGGCCGGCTCCCCCTCCTTGGCGAAGCTTGGAAAGCACACCATGCAGGAAATGGTGCAGTTGGTCAAGTGTGACCGCGTGTTGTTGCGGTTGTGGAATTACTACCAATTAAAGCACGATAAGAGTCTGGACGTGGATTGGATCCAAAAGTACCCTTTCCTAAAAACAAAGTCTGCTATCTTCAAACAATTCGAAAGTCGAGGATTGGATGACGATTTGTCGGATGGTAGCACGAAATACGTTTCTAACGCGGCGCTGTTCAAGGACAACTCGCCGTACATGGTTTGCGCCAAGGACCACTCGATCGAGGCAATAGAAAAGTTGGTCGGCCACAGGAAGTTGACCCTCGAATGGAGAAACAAGGTTCTCTCCGTGTTGACTGGGAGTAGATTGAAGAGTCAGGAGATCGCACTTGTCGAAGGCATTGTGGACACAAAATGGACAGACACGGGGGATGTGACATCCATCACACCGTTCGACAACGACTCTTTGGAGGTAGACATCTGGAGTGCAGAGATGAAGGAAGCAGTGGCTGCCACAAAGAGCCACAAGTTCGTTTTCGATCTGTGCGAACCGGTTGACCTAAAGTTATGGAAACCGCAAGCGTTCGAGACTTTGAATTCCCATTTTCAAACGTGGTGTCTGTCGCATTGGACGCTCGTTGTTTTCATGTCGCGGCAACACAATCTATCGTTTTTGGCCAGCATGCACCATCTTTCTTTCGTGAAGCAGCTGGAAGGGTAGTGGGTGAGGAGGATTCGCCAGAAGAAAAGTTTCCCCGTCAGGAACAATTTGTACACGGAAGACGACCGTATGCACATCCTCTTCAAGGGTGACGATTTGCTCGTTAACACATTCCTTGTTTACAAGGGAAGGCTGTCGAAGGGTGCCGCTGCTGCGATGAGGTTGCCTCAGAGGGTTACCTATACGGATGTATGAAAGATTCCCTTCACTCCTTGCGATTGGTCGTAGACCACGCGTGAATGACAGGGCAGTGTCTACGGGGACATGGAACGCAATCCTACACAATTCGTGGGTCTTCTTGAATTCGTTAGCAAAGAGGGAGAGGGTGACGTCTTCCTTGGGAAGCCGCATGCGTGAAGCGTGTGGGAACTTCTGAAGGCAGGTCGGCTATGTTGCACACCCGGTCATCACTGGTGATGAAAAATCGGTCGCGGTTATGGCCGACGGCCGAATCGGTCGGGTTCGGCCATGACGGACCAACCAATTTTGGTGCAGCATTTTTTTTTTCATATTTTAGCGCACAAAAAAAAAAGGGGGCGTGTAGGGCTCAAAAAACCCTACACGCCCATATTTTTTGGGGGGGCATTGTTGTTTCCTATTGCGTAAAAAAAAATAAAAAGAAAACAAATAATAAAAATAAAAAAAATCGCTTCGAAACCCCGCGCAAGTATGTGTGTGTTTGCGTGTGTGTGTGTTTGCGTGTGTGTGTGTGTGTGTGTGTGTGTGTGTGTGTG